ACTAAAACACTAAACAATGTAATTAAAAAGTGGAGTGCAGAACTTAATAGAGAATTCTCAACAGAGAAATCTAAAATGGCTGAAAGACACTTGAGAAAGTGCTCAATGTCCTTAGCCATCAAGGAAGTACAACTCAAAACAACTCTGAGATACCATCCTTCTCCTGTCAGAATGGCTAAAATCAAAAACACCAATGACATTATATGCTGGAGAAGATGTGGAAAAAGGGGAACACTCCTCCATTGCGGGCGGGAGTGCAAACTTGTACAACCACTTTGGAAATCAGTATGGCACTCTCTCAGGAAAATGGGAATCAGTTTTCCACAAGATCCAGCAATTCCTCTCTTGGGCATATACCCAACTAATGCACATTCATAAAATAAGGACATATGTTCAACTTTGTTCATAGCAGCATTATTTGTAATAGCCAGAACCTGGAAGCAACCTACATGCTCCTCAACTAAAGAATGGATAGAGAAAACATGGTACATTTACACAATGGAGTACTACTCAGCAGGAAAAAAACAATGGGATCTTGAAATACACAGGCAAATAGATGGAACTAGAAGAAACCGCCCTGAGTGAGGTAACCCAGTCTCAAAAAGACAAACATGGTATGTACTCATTCATGTATGTTTTTTAGACATAGAGCATATGATTACCAGCCTACAATCCAGAGAAGCTAGGTAACTAGGAGGACCTCAAGAGAAGATTGCATACTCCCTGGAAGAAGGGGAGGGAGACAAGAACCCCTAAGCAAATTGGTAGCATGGGGGGAGAGAGGAAGGAGGTGGAAGGAGAGAAGAGGAGAAGGGGAGGGGGAGGAGAGCAAGATGACTGAGACAGGGAAAGAATAGAGGAGGGCAAGAATAGAGGGAGACGGACACTACAGGTTTGGAGAGAGGTCTGACACAGGGGAAGTGTTAGGGGATCCTTAGGGATGACCTAAACTAGAAATCTAGGCAGTGGTGGAGAACCTGCCTTTGATGCCCTTCCCCTATAATGAGACTGATGACTTCCTTGTTTACCATTTCTACAGACTTCATCCAGTAGCTGATTAAAGTAGAATCAGGCATCCACAGCCAAGCACTGAACCATACTCCTGGAATCCAGTTGTGGAAAGGGAAGAGGAATGAGCAAAGGAGCCAAGATGGTGCTGGAGAAACCCCACAGAAACAGTTGAGCTGTCCTAGTGAGAGCACGGAGACCCTAGTCATAAATCTAGGGAACCAGTACTGGACTGAACCAAGTCCTCTGAATGTGGGTGCCAGCTAGGATGCCAAGACAGTCTATGGGACCTCTAACATTGGAGCCAGTGTTTATCCTTAGTACACAAATGGACTTTGGGAGCCCATTCCCTATGGAGGGGTACTATTACAGCCCAGATACAGCAAGGAGGGCCTAGGCCCTCCCCCAAATTATATGACAGACTTTGACAGTCCCCCGTGGAGGGTCTCACTATTATCCCTGGGGCGTAAGTGGGGGTTAGTTGGGGGGCTCTTTGTGGGGAACATGGGAGGATTGGAGAGCAAGGGAATTGGGGAATGGATATGTAAATAAAATAAAGTAAAAGTGTCCCGCACGATCATCTTGCCGGCAAGAACAACACAGGACACTCGGATCCTTCTGCAGTAAAGCTTTTATGCATCTTGAGAGAGAGAGCATAAGCTTACAAAAGCGGAGACCCCGAGCCAAGAATCCCGTCCCCTAATAAAGGCTGGCAACCGCCGCCTGGGACGTGTCACCCTATGATTGGCTGCAGCTCATCGGACCAAATGACGCCACGGAAGAGGCAGAGATCAAGGAATGGAAAGTTACCCAGCGCCTGGGCGCATTAACTTTACATTCAATGCCTGCCGGATGCAGGCGCCATCTTGTAATGGAGAATGCAGGGACGGCTCCCTACATAAAAGAAAAAACTCCCTGCATCCTTGAGTTATGTGAGTAAAACAGAAGTGAAAAATGACTGCCACAGAAAATCTTTCTCAGAAGCTATAGTTTTCAAGATAAAGGAAAGGAAAATCTTCCCCAAGAAACTGAAGACAGATGTGCTTATAGATGGAGATAAGGCTTGAATGATCCTAAGAGGGAACTGTGTAAGATTGTGGGTGCAGGCAACATGGGGCATATGGGTTTAGGGTAACAGTGGTAGAACTGGGTTTTGCACCCCACCAGTGTGTAGAAAGCCTCCAAGGTAATGGAGGATTCATGTTAGTAGGTCCTTATGAGAAGATAATTGAAGATTGGAAGCAATGGCTTCATTGATTGACATCAGTGGGTGCCATATACATGTCCTCACTTGTACCACTTTGATGTAGCCTTTCAGAAGCAGTGCCAAGGGAAGGCCACATACATTATCCTCAGAGTTACAGCTGTTCTTGGATCTCTACTTTTACAGAATAGAAAGAAGGCAATCATTAGAAGTCTTTTTATTTTTTTCCAGCACTAATGCTGTTAAAGCAATCAGCCTAGTTTTAATTCTGTAAAGAGTTGTAGCCAAAAACATTTTGTGAAATGTTTTGGAGTTTGAAAGGAGAAAAGGCTCCATAAAACCTCAGTTATGAGCTAATGCAACTGTCATAATAACTGATTCCCCGGGGTTTCTGATAAACAAGCTTAGTGTCCATTAGGAAAATTATCAGGAGACTAAAAGATGTTTACTAAGGATAAAACAGACTGGAACTGGTAATTAATCCTTCCTCTCTGCTTGGTGGAGATTAGGTCCCCAGGAGGTTATTACAAATTTGAGAACTAATGGTTCAAAATAGATTTTGAAACTGCAAAAATCCAGAATAAAACCAAGGGAAATGATTCAAGAAATTATCAATTTTTATAAGAAGAAATGGAAGTGTGATTAATTTGAAAATATTGAGGAATTACAATTGTTGCTTAAGTTTTGTACTATGACAAGCAACTTGTCTATTTTGTTTTGTTTTGTTTTGTTTTAACAGAGGCTCCTGTATCCCAGCCATGTCTCAAATTCATGTATCAGAGGATGGCCTTAAACTTCTGATTCTCCTTCCTGACTATCCAAGTACTGAGATTCTAGGCATGCATCACTGTGCTCTGGTTGGGACGTCCTAGAGTTGTAACCAAGAGTTTTGCAAAAGCTATGCAAGAACTCTACCAACATCCACTGCTAGTATTGGCTTTTAAATTTTGATAAAAATGAGGTTTCTACTACTTTGGTAGATGTGTTCTGAAATTGAAGGAAGACATCACCCTAACACCAGTTTACCATAGGACATTAGAGAAATATTATTTCTGGAACTAATCCTGAAAATTCAGCCAGGACTCTGAAGGAATCCCTATGTCTATTTAATGCTTCATTCCTTGGCAATATGTTCAGAGAACTTAAATAATAAGAGAAGAAAAAGAAATGTTAGTTATTACATAGATTCTTACCAACCTACTTATTCTAAAGAACCCAATGGCCCTTAAAAAAAGGAGCAAAGAAAATAAATGCTTTAAAAAAAAAAAAACTACTGACAGGTAAACAGGTCTAAAACAGAACCTAAGGAGCTGAGAGCTATCATTGCCTTCATCTCCAACCCCCTTAGCCATCAGATAAGTTCAGCATCATCTAAGACAGAGGGTCGTGAAACAGGGAAAATGGAATTGGTTTTCTCTTTCTTGTGCCTAGTGTAATGTTGGTTCATTAACATCTACATTTGAATGTCCCTGTCTGTGAGTAGTGATAATCAGATTATACCACCTAAGATTGCACTGGAAGAACTAAGAGTTTGTGAATTGTCTGACACAGTGCAGGGCTTTGCTGCTAAACAGAGCTGGTACAGGAACCAAGATTTGGCTTTTCACCCACAATCTAAGAGTTTCTTCCACATGAAGGATGAGGAAAAATGCCCTGCTGCAAGGTAGTCTCTATTTTTGGGGTGATCTTCACAGGCTTCCTACCACAGTCCACCATCACTATTTCCATTCTAAATAAAGTTGGTCCCAACAAAAGGTAGATACCACAAACTAAACCAATCAGTTAGAAGCAAGTATGGGTGGTGGGAATGATAGAATAGAGACTTCTCACCAGAGTGAGTGGAGAAAGATGTTTTGAGTGCATAGAAGTTTGGGAAAGTGTTATAAAGAAAAGAGGTAGATCCTGAGAATAGACATTTATATTCCACATGAGTTTCCCAAGAACCAACCTGGCTTTCACAATCCAACTATTTACATTGGCCATATAGGAAAGATTCTTGATGCAAAGGAGTTGTGCTTCTAAAAGTCTTAAAAAATGTATCAGAATAGAAGATGCCATTTGTCTCATTCTCTTAGACGTCTGTAGTTTTGTAAGGAAGGCACGGGAAGGTAACACATATTCTTTTACTCTCCCTGTCTATATTGAAACTCAACTTTACAGACCATTACCTGTAAGAAAAGTTTAAAACAATTTTTTTTTGTTTGTAGGGGATTTTTTCTTAGGTAATTTGAGTTGTTGAGCTCTGTTAGATAAAAGAGGAACCTTTCTAGAACACTCAGATCATATTTATGCATTATTTCTAGAAATAAGGCTGTACAATTTTCATGCAAAAGGTTCATTGTTCGCTGTTATCAAAGTAGTCCAGGCAATCAGAATAATTTTGGATATCTTTTCTTACACAAAGTGAAATGGGTAAGGGTTTTGCAACATTTGAGATTTCAGTTAACAGTAGTGAAAAGTGAAGAATGTAATTCAAGACATGCAAAGTGTGGGGAAATTATTTATTAGACTATTTGCTTAAGAAACCTCATCTACAATAACCTCATGCTTATTCCCTTCCTTTCATAGTTGGTGAATTTCTTATAGATGAGGCATATTAAAACTAACATTTTTCTACTTAAATATTTTTTATGTGACATGTTGGCAATGATAACTCTAATTAACACTATTGCAAGCTTTGTGTACTGTGTAATTGGGATTATGCAACTTAGCTTGTGTGACTATAAAATAATGTGTGGTTTTTAAAGACAGAGAAGCATTCTCCAGGTTAGATTTTTCTAAACAGAAAGTTGAGTGTTATAAATTCCACCTCCCACAGACCAGAATTCATATTCATTGGTCAGGGGCAAATACCAAGGGCTCTGCGTCTTCAGTCACTTTGTGCCACTTCATCAAGTCGGAGCCAAAGGTAAGTTTTTATACTTGTTTTCTTCATTTTACCCCTAGTATAACAACCTTTAAAAAAATAATTCAACTTGCTTTAAGAACTCCTGCTGGACTTTAATCCGGTGGGCTTGGTTTAATTTGAATGATGATTGTATATTGATATTATTCTTGGAAAATCCAAAATTGTGGATTATCTTAGGAATTAATAACACTGGGCAAATAGTTAATCTTAATATTTATAACAGATGTGAATAAAATCGTAGTGGTTTCCAATATATGCTTTAAATCAATAGCTCTGACACTGACCACAGCCTTTGGCAGTAGAGACAGACAGTATTGATTGATATTAACTGAATTTTTTATAAAGAGGTAGAAGGCTAACGATGCTTCAGATGTTTTAAATGTACTGATAATTTTATGGTGCTTTCCTTTTAGAATGTCTTTTTGTGATAGATATTTTATAGTTTAAAACAAGCTTGTATTTTTGGAATATTTTAATATGATATAAAGTGAATAACAACCTGAAAAAGTTTAACTAATAACTACATTAAATACAATTATAACTTCTAGGAGGAAGATAAATATTAGTAGCAAAATATACATAGATAGCCTCATCAATTTTATTTCATACAAGCTGCTTGTCCTGGTCACTTTACTGGGAAAACCAAATGATAGTGACCTTTCATATGCAGACATTTGTAATGACAGAGAAAATAAGAAATGAGAAGCAGAATTAGCAAGTGCATGTTTTCTTTGAATGATGGAATTTGCTACAAATATACAAGGAAACTTACTTTTCAATTATATCTCTTCTAATACTTATCACTTGACTGTGGGAGCATGGTTCATGGAGGATTTGTGAACCATGCTGTCCTACTAAGTAAGACCCTTGGCTATTTCTAGCAATTCTAAATCCACAACTTGGAAGGGTATTTCCAAAGGTAACTAAAATAGAGTCAAGTTAATTCTGTGTGAAAAAGATTGAATTAGCATAGGAAAGGATAGGAAGGAACTCTGTCCTGTTCTTATTCTCAGAGGAATCCCTGATCTCTGTTTTCATCAGCTTCACAAAAGGCTTGTTTCAAGTAACTGAAGCTGCATTTAAGTAAAAAAGTTAGGAATTCCGTTCTCTGTTTGTTCAGAGACACTAATACTACAGATACTGTCCTTAAACTTAAAAAGAATGTCCAAAACATAAAATCTTTTTATATTACACATTAAGCAAGAGACTATATTATTCTGCACAGTGAACAATTGATTACTAATTTATATTCTTGATACTGCCATTGTGAACACTTAAAATTAAGAATGAGATTTTTGTTCTTAAGCTAAACTATAGTCAAAGAAGTACACACAGAACTAAAGTCTGTGAGATGATAAGGACAAGACAGTGTTGCAAAGCCTTTCATTATAACCGAAAACAAATTATGCTTCCTAACAATTACAGAGCAAAAGATTGCACCGTTCCTATGTGTATTCAAACCCCATCCTAATCATGCAAATATTGCCTTTCTGGTGTATATTCTTGTTGCTTTTTGAGACTAAGTCTCAGTTATTAATAATTAAAATACTAAGGAATAAAAGTTAATTTTATATTCTGCTAAAATACTAGAAAATACTGCATTAAATATTAATTTACAAATAATTTGAATTATGTATGCAATCAGGTTCCCAGAGTCAGCAAAGGACAGATAAGAACAATGACTTTCACTAATTTGTTTTGGGGACTTGGATACACAAGAAAGACTTATGAGTGTCAAATGTATCAGTAATGAACTCTGACTTAGTCTTCTCATGTATAAAATAGCAAGATAATCAATTGCTATCTTCATCATCATCATCAATATATCTCTACAACCCAAAGTTAATGAAAGTCCTAGGGTTCATTAAGTGGTATTGGGAGATGTGATGCTCATAATTACCTGATGGCAAAAGGCTTTGTGAATCAATATATCACAAACACTTTACAACCAAATACTTTCCTATCTGTGAATAATATGAAATGCATTTCACTGTAGCTTACACTATAAAATATGAAGTTACATGTGGATGGAACATTTGACTCCACCGGTCCTTTGAAATTTCGAATTTGCATACGCTACGGTTTTAAATTATTGCTGTAAACAAAGCTACCAGCTTGAATTTGTTGATGCTGACATTGATCAATCACTTCTATGTAATGCAAACTATATCTGAGTTATTATCAATTACATGTTTGCAAAATTTTTATATTTCGTGATTAGGAAAGTTGAAAGATGAAAATGCTAGCAAGAATTGTCCTGGTGCTCATCATCTTTGATGCTACATTGACTGCCCCAACTACGGAGCTCTTTAACTATGACTCAGAAGTCTACGATGCCATCTTGGAAGATGTGGGAACCTTTTATAACTATGAACAGATACCTATCAACCAAGTAGAGGTAATGTCTTGTTCCCTCTCTTGAGTCTTTTAAAAGCATTCAATGATGATTGATAAGAGCTTATTTGTTTTGGCAAAAGAATTTGCTTACTTACAAAGCAAAGGTTGGATCTCAATTTCCTATAAACATCTGGCTACACGATGTACAACTTTTTCAATGTGAATGCTGAGACAGTCTTTTTGTTCCTAACAGGAAAAACAAAAATAATAGCAATTTCATTGCGTGTGTGTGTGTGTGTGTGTGTGTGTGTGTGTGTGTCTGTGTGCACGCGCGTGCACGTACATGCATATTCATATATATTTGTACACCATGACACATGTGGAGATGAAAGGAAAATTTGAGAGAGTTGGTTGTCTACTTGCGTTTACCCATTAACACACCTCACTAACCTGAAAAAAGCAGCAACAATATTTTCTATTAAGGTACAACACATACATTTTTAAAGCAAGAAAGAGTTAAAGCACTCATTATGTAATGCTGAGAAAAGCATTTGAGGTTAAAACAGACAAGAAGATAAACGAAAGCATGTAGAGGGAGCACACTGATTCAGAATTGTGCTGTGTACCAGGAGTAAATGTGCATTTGTGAATGGTTGATTTCTCTCCCCAGCAGTAAAGGAGGCATTGGCAAGGTTACAGCCCATTACATAAATCTGATATGACATGTTTCTAATTAAATGCTGGGGTTCTTACACTTTCACATAACTAAAGGATACAGGGTAATTCTCTTGAGTCAGAGCACAAACAGACCTTGAAGCATGATTTATATACAACATTGGCAAAAAGTAGATATAAATAAATAAGGAAGAAAATCAGTTTAGCTTTAAAACATCATTGCAAATTCTGCACCCTCTTTCAAATGTAAATCTTAGAATTACTGTTTTCTATGGCCTTGACTACTAAGTATCTAGATAATACATTTAATTTGTATGAAATACAAGATGACACAATGTTCTATATCATTCTTGCTGCCTAATGAAATGAGAATCAGATTTCATAACAGAAAAATTTTCACACTTCTTTCCTTCTCTCTCAGCCTGACTCTTTCCTCATATTTTATCTCATTTTCTTCTGTTTTTAATAAAGTCTTGGTCTTTTACCTGTTGTCTGCCAAGATAAATACTTTACTTCAGACTTATTTTATTTATTCCACATTGAAAATAAAAAAGAATAAGAATTCAGGGGTTAAACATTTAATGTTTATCTCCAAAGAATTCTGTTTAAGCATGGTTGAGGAGTGGGCTAAGGGTTTTGTTCATTTCCTAAAGAAGAACCCAAGGAACAGTTTAAGAAATACTGATTAATTCTGAGCCTTTTCCAGGCAATATTGTAAAGGAAATAAGACCATCTACATAAAAGGTAAAACCCACCCATCTCTGTCAGAATCCTGCACATTGACCAAACTGTCCCAGATATTCTTGTAAATGAGTGGAATTCCTCCTGCCATCAAGCAATTTGATGATTTTTAACCTTCCCTCTGGGTTTGCATGTTCTAAACCAGTGCTTCTCGACCTGTAGGTCACGGCCCCTTTGGGGAACACATATCAAATGTCCTGCATATGAGATATTTATGATTCATAAAAATAGCAAAATTATAGTTATGAAGTAGCAGCAAATTAATTTCTTAGTTGGGGTCACCACAAGTTACTGTAATGAAGATTCCAGCATCAGGAAGAATTCCTATTCTAAATGAATACACTCCTGTGTTCCCACTATATGGTATATGTCTCAGCTCTTACCTCATGCTAATATCCCTCATTCGTGACAAGATTTTTATTTTAAGGCACAGTTCATGCTCACTTTATTCCTTGAACAAAATTTTTGAAGAGCTAGTACTATTTCCATCAAACAGATATTACTATAAATACAAAGCTTTTAAATAACTTGCCTAGGATTTCATGATAAGGCTATATATAACAATACTATCTCATAACAGAGAATGACTTCCAACAGAGGACTAAGAGATTGCATACTCCTTTTTTTTTGCTTCCTACACTTTTCCAAATTATCCTTTTGACTAGATGTCATTCTTTTTATTTTAAACATAATTCTTTATTGATTCGTTGGAAATTTGATGTCATGCACCCCAATCCCATTCAATTCCTAGTCCCTTCATATCTGCTCCTCCACTTTCAGTATGCCCCTCAAATTAATTAAAAACAAAACAAAACAAACAAGAAACTCACATCTTTCCAACACCTGTTCATCCATCCTAGTGACATTGGAAGCTGCAGTGTCTCACACAGTATACATCTTTTGTCCAATCAGCACCACCTGCACCATGTTCATTGCAATGAGTCATTGGTCTGGTACAAGGCCTCTGGTTTCTGGTATGCCATCATCACTGGGCCATAATCAAAACTCCTCCTGGGATTGAATTTCAAATGTTCTAACATCTTACAAGGGAAAGAAAAACATCCAGCAATGCTGGTGTTAATATAAACTAGAAGTAAGCTTTTAAATAGTTCTGTCTGCAATCTGATTTTTCTACAAAAGATGGCTTAAGGCTATAAAGAATAATTGTACCTGGACAATCTGTAATATATGTCTCATTTCTTTACTACAGCCTACACACATATATGTACACAAATATATTACAGATTTACATGCTATATCATATATTATGCACATACCATATGTATATGACATATGCCCTATATTTAGTGGTTAGGAGAAATCATTTTGTACTTTCTTGGACTATTCATCAAAACTTCGGTTTTCAGGGGCTGGTATTCTTTGTTGTGTGGTTTAACAGTTTCTGACGCATGTTGTTAATTGCTGCTTTTTTTTCATCTTCATGATTCAATTTTTAGGTTATGAATAGTCAATTTCTCCTAGGTTAAAAGGGACCACAAACTTCTCTACAAATATTGGACCACCTGTGAGTATTACATCACCATAGAAAATGATCAATGACAATTATGGTCCTGATATGCTTCCATTCTCCTATTGCAGTCTCCAAGGCTCCCCCTAATTAGACTTCTCCCCACATAAATTTCAACTTATTTCTATGCATTTAACTTTTTCTTATTTTGACCTGTGTTGACCCCATGTCTTCACCAAACAGAAGCATTGTACTAGAGAATTCAATGGAATTTGACACTATGGTTGCTGTGAGGTAGTGTGTCGAGTGTAAAATAGTGACACACAATATTCCTTATGAAGATGTACAGCGAAATTGTCACTCCTGTACCAGTCATAGCAGTGCAAATGCTTAGGGACTTTGCTCCTGTTTAAATCATATGCTATACAAATGAGAGTTCCTGTTAGCGTGTTTTGCCAGCTCACAATTCAGGAAATTTTTTTGCCTCCTCCTTCTTAGTTTCTTGTAAATTCTTCTGCCTTTATTTTTCAGTCACCCTAAAACTGTGTGGAGATTTTTTAAAAATTGCTATATGTTGTCTTAAAACTTCTTTTTTAATGTCTGAAATAAGATAGATTACATATCTGTAAGTAAATAGCAAGAAAACAAGATATGTTGGCAAAACTTCCTTCATAGACTGATTTTCTTGCTTTACCCCTTCAAGGCTGAAGACCATCTTTCTCATCATGAGTTTTTAGATGTTCATCTCATTTTCTTTAATGAACTTTTTTTTGGTTTTTTGAGACAGGGTTTCTCTGTGTAGCTAAGGAGCCTATCCTGGCTCTCGCTCTGAACATCAGGCTGGCCTCAAACTCATAGAGATCTACCTGCCTCTGCTTCCTGAGTGCTGGGATTAAAGGTGTATGCCACCAATGCCCGGCCTTTAATGAATATTTTATCTTTGTTTGGGGTATGTATTTAAAATTAGCAATAAATCCATTATTCATAAAAATAAGTTGCACATTTTTATGAAAAGACAGTCTTTTTCCAAGAAAAGAAATTGTCTGTTGGTAACAATGACACTGTTTTGTGTTTTTGCAAATCCCATCTGTTCATGGCCCAGTGGAGCTCAGATTTTATGTATATGCTCTAGTCTTCAGTAAGTTGTTTGGTTGGATTCTAAAGAAATCCCACCTCATGTTGATATGTGGCTCAATTTGCAGAAGTAATTTGGTAACTATTTAAAAGAGTTACAGATAGTTTCTATTGCTAATCTAGACCCTGGTAGTTTCTCTGACCTTGGAGATTAATTGTACTGTAGAGTCTAAAGCCTCATCCTCATTGATGAATTCTCTTATGCTATTCCTTTCAGATCCATTGCTCTGTCTTCAGTTTAAATGAGTGACTTACTTGTGTGTAGTTTAGCACTGCCATACATTAGGTATTTGAAAAATTGTTGATTTACTGAGTTAGGAAGATCTTTCAAATGTTCATTTATCTCATTATATCCAATCCCAACACAGCTGATATCCTAACTATACATCCCAGAAATGCAGACAGTCAATAAAAAAATAAAAGAAGAGTGTGATTCTGGATGATTTGCTCTTACAAAAACTGTTTCAAAATTGAAATAAAGTTTGACAATGGCATTTAAAGATGGTGAAGCAATAATATTCTTTTAGGGTGATATTACTTCAGTGACTATGTAGGGATGGTTTAAAGCTGTGGAAAATGGCTTTTTCTCCTGTCATTATTATAGTATATCATTAAGTGACATAATCACAGATGTTCATACATGTACAGCTTTTAGAAGAGTTGAAATGATTCTGGGATATTTGTTGAAAACAAATTCCATTTTAGATAGCAAAAATACATTCAGTTGTCAAAAAGTAAAAATTGATCAGGAATATTTCTTTCTTATAATATACTTTAACTATAATTTAATTACATGATTACCTCTTCCTTGTCATTTCTCCAGTAACTCCTGAGTGTCTATTCCCCAAAATCACCTCAAATTATTCTTTTTATTTTATTACTATTGTTACAAATGGATACATAAATGTGCAAATGCAACCTGTTAAGTCCATATTCATTCTGTACATATGATTTCTATGCATATGATTTCAGGGCTGACCACTAAGTATTGGATAATGAATTGGGTGACTCAAACCTGAGAAAGATGAATTGCTCCCTCTCAG